CCCACAAGCCTCTGAATAGGAAATTGGTGATTCTTATTCATTCAATACTTACTAAGTGCCAGCTATGTCAAATGTCATAATAAGCACTGGGATCCTTCAGACTTATGATTGGGACAGTCCTAACAAATACATTAATCCAGGCCATCACCTTCCAGAAAGCCCCAGAATCAACATATTCCTTGGGTCCAAGAATCAAAATAACTTTTCAGGCCCTTTATTTAGCCATGTACTTATGTAAGTAAACACCAAAGCAGCTTACTTACGAAGTGAGGTTGTTCCAGCTCCCAAAAATTAAAAGATGTCAAATCTCTACTACAAAAATTGAAAGAAAGATAAAGATGGTGACGGGTCTGGAGCGGCCGTGCCAGGAGACAGTGCGACCCTGAGAAGTGTACGCTGTGATACCAGAGTACTATTTGCATTTCCAAGAGCAACAAAAAACGAATAAATCTTTGAACAACTAACCTACAATGACGAAAAAGCAACTACAGATTCGAGGTTTTTGGGCCGTCACAAAAGAAGATTCCTGAGAGCGCCCAAGCCACGCTGCGGGGTCGAGCGAGCAGCCCGAGACAACAAAGGCCAAGTAAGTCAGCAGAGACGACACAGAAACGGAGTGGAAGGCGCCGGACCAGCCCAACTCTGCAAGCTCTGTGAGTCACCCCCAGTCCAGCCCCACTTGCAGGGAAAGCCCATCTGGCTTCCACCCGCCTGGCTCCCACCTGCCTAGCTCCCGCCTACCACACCAGGCTAGGCCACTGCAACAGCACTGCCTGCATTTTCTCGGGTGGGGGGCCTCACTGAGACGGGCCACTTGCATACCTCGACACAGGGCCCCCCCCGGGGCCTGTGGACTGGCCTACAATTCCACTCCCCCCGCGGATCTCTGACGGGGCTGGTGGTGGGGGGAGCCCCCGGCCAGCGTCGGGAGGGCAGGGAAGAGGAGCCCGCCCAGACTGTCACTCCACCACACCCTGGGCTTCAGCCCCAGGTAAACTCCCTGTTTCCGGGAGGCAGATACCATCTCTGTGGCCCTCAGTTTGGAAGAACCCCAGGAGCACTCTGGAGCTGGATTGAAGTTGCCAGAGAGCACTCCCGGAGGGCGCCTGGGTCGACCCGTGCTGGGGGGATTCAAAGAGGAACTGTGTGCTCTGGGTCTCTCCCCCGAGGAGCTCACACCCTGGAGTTGGAGATAACTTTACTACACAGATAGCCGCAGCACCGGGAGGAAAGTGAGAGATCCAGAGGAGGCCTTATCCGGGGCCACAAGAGCACTCAAAGTGTCCCCACAAGACAACTGAAACTCCTCCTGGGCAGGGCAGGGCACAGCTTTGATGTCCCGGGTGATACACGAGGATTGTAGAAGACACGCCTCAGCCCTGTACTGAGCGCACAGAGTGGGGAGGGGTCCGGCAAAAGGAGGCAGAGTCTCGGAAAAAAAAAAAAATTACACACCCTGCGGGCCCCCTTTGCAAGGCTCAACAGCCCCACCTAGTGCACACAGAGTGGGAAAATGCCCAGATAGCAAGGTGCAAAACACACATACATTGTGGGACTAGCAGAGTGGAATTCAGCAGCCTAGTAGAGTTTAAGCTGACCAGAGAGGAGGCACCCCACAGAAGTCCAAGACCCGAGTGAAACTCCCTGC